ACAACAATGGACAATTTAGAATCTCCAGTTTTTGGACTGTGGCAGGAAGCCGGAGAACCCGGAGAGAACTCCACACAGAAAGCTCCCAGGCATCCTAACCGGGAACCTTCTCGCTGTGAGGTGACGGCGGTGCTAACAGCCGAGCCACCGTGCAGCCCTAAACCTAAAAACCAGTAACAGGGAATTTCAAAAACATCATCTTATTGAGTGACTTATCTCCCATGAACTATGACACGGAGACATCAGGACAACTAAGATTTTGACACGCAACAAAAAAGATCTTGAAGAATTTTGAGACAAAACAAGCATTGTTTTACTTTCCAACTGTTTCTTGAACCAACTGCGATCAGCAGATTGGTTGGTTCCTACACCGTACTGCAGCAGTAAAGTCCTGCTTTTAGGCTTTTATGCTCCTGCAGTAGGAGTAATAATAAAGATCTTCTGATGGGCTAACAGTAGACCAGCTTTGTTTCCGTCACTGCTGATGTCCATAAAGATAAGACGATTATGTTCGTTCAACGACAAGTAGCTCCCTCCTTTAAACATTATGTAAATGGCTTGATTCCAGCGTGTCTTGGTTTAGATCTCTGTTACATCTCTTTACCTGTTTCACTCAGAGAAAATGAAAAAAGACAAATGATCCCATCCGGTCTTTCACACTCACCTCCACCTTGGCTGTAGCGTAAAGTCCCAGAAGGTCTGTGGCCTTCACCTCCACTTTAACCGTCTTTCCATCCAGACCTGCTGCTGAGACCACGTACACCAGACCTGAGGACGGCTCCACGTCGAAGTAGGAGCTGTCAGCTGACAGACTGTACACCAGCCGACCCTGGTCTCCAACATCAGGGTCTGTTGCCTGCAGGAGGACGGAGAGGATGAAGGTTAAAAACATTCTGGTGCTTCGTGTAAATGTTTCCGAGCTCAGAAATGACTGACTGTCGTCACACTGTCTGCAAAATGAGCAGCGACTTGTGGCCTGGACATTTGATTAGGCTGAGAACCACTGGATGGAACCACTGGAGTCCTCTAAGATCGCTCCAAGAGCAAAACGCTGCTAAAGCAATGATGATTTTACAATTAATATTGATGGTGCTGAAATGAATAGAGGAGGTTTTGGGTGTCGATGAGAATTTAAGTTGGAAATCACATATAAATTAAAGCCGCAAGCGGCGATGGACGGGTCCTCGCCCTACACTTGTCGGCCTTTGCGCACGGCGGGGTGTGGGGCAAACCTGCTCCGGGCAGGACTGTGATCCGGCATGTCGAGTTTGGGGCAGATCGGAGCAAGTGTGGCCTAGTTA